TACATCGTTCAAAAGAATATGAGACAAAATAAGCATATGGTTTGCCTTGAAGTGGTGGGAGTGACGGTGTCGTAGCAATTGTGTTCATTAGACAGTGGGTAAAAATTTATAATTGAGTACGCTGTGAACAATCAAATGGCGATAAACAAGAGAGTTATGCTCAAATTTATGAGCACATAGCGCAACATAGTGGCAAAATTGTGATGACGTCATATCACACGAAGAAACGAATCCCATACAGCACACCGGGATACTTGAAATAAATAAAAGTAATAGCGTTCTAGCGAAAAGTTTAGTTTCAAATTGATTAGTCCAGTAATCAAAGAGTTTTTTTCTGCTACAAAGAACAAGTACAACAACAACATAATAACAAAACGATCGTTATGTCCACTAACGTGTCCAATAACGCAGAATGCAGCCAGCCTTGCACAATGGATATGACGGCAAAATAAATGACATGAAAGAGGAAACACTTAAAAGTTAGATATCAACCCTAGCGGTCTAGATTCACGTTGGATGGATCGTTTACAACGTAACGATTTGTATATGTGACGAATGAGAATGTAGTTATGATAAGTCTCCGCGGTCATTTTCTCACGGTGTTTCGTATTTCCACTCAGAACGAGGCTTCACGGAAACTGTAACTCTTACGTAAAATCTGAAACTTGCGGCTTGGTAGGAATATACTGCTAGACCAAGCAGGTTTCGAACCTAAAATACTTAATTCACAACCGCCGTGTATAGAGGCAGGGTGTGTGGTAACTACATATGCGTGTTATTTGGGTTTTTAAAAAACTTCGAAGTCTTCTCAAGATCCACTGCATATTTTAATCCGTCTCCTGTTCATTTTAATCGGTTCATATATTACTCGATTCCACACTTTTACGCTTTAAATTGAGCAACTTGACATTCGAAATGTCTATCTTCATTATCTCCACGTTTTAGCAACGGATAAAATTACTTATCTAGAATTAAAAAAAAAGTCGGTGATTTGACAACTATTTTCATTTATAAGTTTACCGCAATACTTCCCACTGAAGTTAAACTTTAATTACTTATTGTATTTGAGATGTTTTTAACAACTGATTAATTTCAGCATTTCAACCCATTTTTCTTAAATGTGTGATAATTATGATAAAAATACATTCGGTTATTATCGATTGTTCGAGCAAATATTCATTTCATCTTAAAAGTATTTCGAGATATTAGGAGGAAGTAAAAATCTACCACGAAGGGTTAATTTATACTTTAAAAAGGATACCTAAGTTCATAATATGCACCATTTCTTACGGCGATGAACGAGATCCGTCAAAGATTTTAGGCTAGAGCGAAATGTTAACAGGAAAACATGTTTCTCACTTTGGAAGGACCGTTTGCAAACGCGATGACCACTACACTACGGAAAGACATCAGGGTCGGTTTCAAGCCGATTTCACGAACCACGGGTGTATACGTTTCCCTATATAGAAGTCTCCCAAGAGTATTGTTCATTTTAATATGACCCTCCGGCGTATGCGTTTCTGTAGTGTAGTGGTCATCACGTTCGCTTTAATTGCAAACGGTCCGCATCGTTTAAAAATTGGTATTTATCTAGTTAGTGTTAGGAATGATACGGTGACTGACGAGGACACCGCCGTCAAAATATTACTTATAGGCAGATTTTCCTCGAGGCAAATTCGGTAATTAACATGCTGCGTTTGTTCGTGCGGTTATATATGTTTATTGTATATTATTACTAAAAGTTTGTAAGAAAGGGATAGGATTTACATATTGGTCCGGTGTATGTATGTATGTTTATTCGTCTCGTAAAAGCAATATAAAAGAATTAGTAATTATAAATACTGAATACGGTATGTATGCACAAGATCATACTGGCCTAAAACACGAATATGCGTCATACATCCCTTTTGATATGTATAAATTATATTACGGTACATCAAATACGTATAATATGGTCCTTTATACAGACAGTTGTGCAAAGAGGGTGGGTGGGTTTGGTAACAGAGGTAAGGGTGGAGTATCCAAAACTGTGTGTACAAAGGAGTTTTTTATAACAAAACAACATCTATATATATAAATACAGACACAACACAACATGAAACGCACTGCATGTAAATATAGTAATAAGATTAAGAATTTGGATGTAAGTACAAACCATTGAGTGATGATACCACATATATACTATAAACGAATGGTAAGTTAAAGGGGTACATAATGGTAAGCACCCACAAGGGGATAGTGTGAGACTGATGTGAACAGTAATTCAAACTCCTCTTGAGTTTTGACCAAAGCGATGAGTTTCAAAAAAAAATTTTTTAAGAAGCTGTCCACCCAGGGTGATAAGCCGAATGACTGCGTAATCAAACCGAGTACACGCCCTTTGCAGGTTACCAGTCGTTGGGTTATGCGATTAAAAATCGGTTATGCTGTCCAGTTAGTCAAGTTATCAAACATGGAATCATTTATTGATGCAACCCAGTGGTTTTGAAATTTTTTTTTTTTTGGTGAAGCATAATTCCAGTGGAACATTTAAGGGGCCCGAGGAATCCAATAGTGGCATAGTTCAGTTGTTTGATTGTAGGCTACATATAGAAAATCTAATACTGGAGACACAAAATTATATTTATGCAAGTGTCGTAAGTTTTATAATATTGGCGAATCTAAATTGATTACGAGTTGGATTGCGCGAGACCAACTTACTGTACTTCCAACATGTGGTCGACTATGTCGAGTATATCATGTCTTTTTATAGTCTTTCTTGGCAGTTTAGTGTGTTGGCCTGTAACTTTGCTCAGATATCGGTCTCCTGTATTTCTGAGTGAGTGCGCGTGATGTTACCAAGTTAGGCTTTTTCAGCTCATCCTCTCGTTGGACACTGAGTGTACAAATGGATCTTTACAAGTCAGTGTATTAAATATACATTATCCAACTGGAGATCCAGAGTTCAGACCTCAGTCCAGTCGCGCTTATATGAAGATCCTACCCAAAGCGAAACCCATAAAGGCACAAGTAAGCTTTCCTCACTGCTTCAACTTGTAATGAGCCGGAATCGATTCTCTTGCGTTCTTACTTAGCTTGGAAAGTTAGGAGAGAACCTTCAAATGATCAATGAAATTGTGCAAGATGATTAATGAAATCCATCAGTCAATGTTATGGTTGACACGAATCATCCAACTGAGCGAAGTCGGGCCAATTTTGCCAACCAGTAAAATTTAGGCTAGCCCTACTCGCGGCCAAAGTTAAGAAGTTGAGACGTTGAGCCCTAGTTTCGTGGAGCTGATGACTTTATGTAAATGTTTAATCTATGGCTGCAAAAATTATACATAATGAGATTTTTTCCTCCGGTAGTGGGAAAGCCTACAAGAAAACATCTTTTTTATATGGCGTTCGCTTAGGGCTAAATTGGTCGCCATGTCAATCACGTCATCGTAAAGTTGTCGCTCAACTAACGACTGTTGAATATCGCGTCACCGTCGGCCTAAAGCTGACAAACTTTTTGCGGGTGGTGGCATTTTCGTTAACCGTCGGCCTAGCTTTTTGATTGTCAAGTTCAATATCAAGTTTACAGCTTTTGGTTTTGCTGTAGGTAAACATGTATGCCTAAAGGATAATGGCAAAAGGTCAACTTTTCTTCCTCCACCTCTGCCTGGTTACACTTTAAAATGCGGAAAAAATTACTTATGTTTGCTAAACTCGATTCAGTGGATAAATAATAATAGATTGAGCAGATAAATAAAAGTACTTCATTGTTACGTAACATTAAAGGCACACACTACGTAATTAAAGTAATCGACATAGAAAGGTGAAAATAATTTATTAATCCATATACCCAGCATTTAAATTAAAAAACAAAACAAAAATATCCAATCATATTTTAGGTATTCGCGGCGCATTTAGCAACTCGCTGCATTGCATCATTTTTCTTTATCAATTTCATTTTTGGTGTTCCGCGAAGCGACCTAAAAAGTGCAAGTGTTCTGTGGCTTGGGGTAGGGGTGGCGGGAGGAAGCCGCCAGCAATCCTCTGGTACTAAATTATCCCCTACGGGATTTGAACCTGCGAATCTAAGCGGGGTAGTCTTAGGTTAGAAATCAAGCGCATTCCTAGGGCTTAGCACGATGCGCCACTCAACGCAAACGTAGTCAGCTGCAGTGCACTGGCTGACATAGATACTAAATACATTAAAATACGTGTATACCCTTCCCCTGGGTGTTGAAATCTCAGGAATGTTCTTTACGGCCTTACATACCTGTATCATGATCGTTCTTTACCAAGAGGTCTAATCTAGAGACAGACTCAAAGTGCTTCAAACGGACCTAAGGTCTCCGCGATCTATTCGTCTACTCAAAATGGCATTAATAAAATTTAAGCAGCAGCAAATACATCTGAGGTATTAAATAGAGTAATTTCAATTCACCCATCAATATTGATCGCTAAGTAACAATTTGTTTTTGTTACGTTCTTATTGTGGGGCTACGTCAATAACAGTCCACCTCTTCACGAGCTCCATAACACCAAATATTTGAATGGTCTCGAATAGTTGATCTATATATCATCAGTTGTTGTCGTCGGTATGCTCTTGTCTTGAGCAGTCAATTATTTACTTCACATAGAACCGTGATTAATCTCGTTGCTGATGTTATGTCTCCGCCGTTTGGTTTGGGCGAAGAAATTACTATATAGTAGGCATCGAAACAACGTCACAATATGACCTCTCTTTTAACGACATCGCCCGCACGTTATAGTAAGAAAACTTAAAAGTATTCTTGGCTATGCGCCAGTTAATGAGCTAAGATTTGTACGCCAATGCAGAGAATGCATTGATATAACGCTGAACCTGTACACGCCGTTATTCTTTCTTTGAGTTGTAGGACGGTTACATTTTTGATGGAATTCACGTGCGCGTTTACTCGACAAATGTAAACAGACAAATATAATGGAATTGCTGGATTCTTTGTACTAAGCTCCCGTCACTGATGCAGAAATGTGTGATCTGAGCTAAACACCCCTGTCAAGTTTTAAAATAAAAAATGAGTAATTATGCAGTTAGGGTTTTGGGTTAGAACGATTCGAAAATTTGAATTTCCGGCTGAATCTGCATCCCTCACCTTAACTGAATAAGTACTATTTTTATTTAATTCGAGCGTTGGCGGGGTGTTGTTTTGGGGCGGGGCTTGTTACAAAAGATCCTGAGAATATTACTGTGAACTAGGTATTATACTATGAATAAAACAAATCCAACCGCCATTTGCATTCTGCAACTTTGAGATCACGCGTCAGAAACGTGATCGACTCGTAACGACAACCTGGAGTAATTAAAGTAATCAGGTAAAAACATTTGATTACCAACAATCAGATAGCTTTTTTCGTCAGATATTTTTGCGCGCGAAGCCACAAGCGACATCGCTTTCAGTCAGTCACAAATGTTCGTGATAGGATAAGATTTGATTTTGTGTAGGATGTATGGATAGGCTGCCTGTTGGGTTAGGACAGCGAGTTCGAAACAATATTCAGGTGAGTTAAATGTTCTTTATACCCATTGTTTTCATTGCTATTATATTGCTTTCATTTTACTATTGTATAAGTGGTAAATTAGAGGTTTTCGGGCCTATACGACTTGGACTTATTAACTAATACAGAAGTCTAGATTGATGGATGATTCTCTTTTGCACCCAACTCACTAACAGCGGGTTCTATCGTTTTCTCACAAATAGGCCAAACTTAAAACCTATATGACAATACATAAGCTTATCATGAAGAAACTTAAACGTAATACACTTACTTTCAAAACTTTCGCAAATGTAGCGCAAAATCCATGGTTTAATAGAGATTCGCCATAGCCTTTTTACTTTAATATATTATTGTGTATGGATTGGATCTTTGTACAAAGACCCTACCAACGTTCAAAATAAGAGAATTAGTAATTATCCAGTTTAAGTTAGGAATGCAGATTGCACTGGAAATTCAAATTTTTAAATCATTCCTAACCCCAAATGGATAATTACTAATATGTGATTTTAAAACGTGGCGGGAGCTTTGTGCAAAAGATCCGATAAATTCAGTCCCACTGTCCATTGATTATGCTAGCTACAGTTCTGCGACAATTTATTTATCAATATCTTAACTTTTTTCAGATGAAGAAATATTGATGGTGAAAGATTCAAAGACACGAACTAACGAACGAGGAATATTACAAGTAAATATTATTTGAACATTTTATTTGACGCCTATTGATTCCTGTATACCACTGTTTTTGTTTAAAATGCTAAAAAATTCGATGCGAGCGCACCGCGTCTCTGGTCTTGCGATCAGAGTCAGCATTGTTATGCCACTTATCTGATCATGTGTTTTCTCTCGAAATTGTAAGATTTATATAAAAAAGTCAGACCCACGTTCACGTTTAAAATGCTAAATAGTTCGATGCAAGCCAACATTGGGTGCTCCTGATGTATGCGCACCAAAATGTCGCATAACCTGAATCCTGACCAGGTACACAACCCGAGTTCAGGTTGTGCGCCATCTTGGTGCGCATACTTCAGGAGGTCCGAACATTGTTATGCCGCTTTTTTGATCCTGTGCATTCTATCGAAATTGTAAGATTTAGATTTTGCACAAGCTTTAATAATTGTGTTTCAAAGCAGAAGTCCAAAAAAGTACTATAAATATAGTATCTTGTATCAAATTGGTGTACTCTTTGCGACCCCTAAAATTCGTTGCGCGCTTCCCTGCTGGATAGCGATCCCCAGTTTGCGATCTCTACCGTGAACAATGTGATAATGCTACAAATTACTTATCAGAAGTAATTAATTAGTCATATACTCCATGAAAGAGTTAAATAAATTCATTGAGTATTTTATTGTTATTGTAATATTTGCAATTTGTGCAGTTTGAAGACTACACCTGATATGTTATAGAGTTTATATTTGAAATTTAATGTCAATCGCTGAATAAATTTTATTCGTCTATTCGTCTAAACTTTCTAAATTTTAAATTTTATGAAATTAAATATCGAAATTTACCCGTTACGTATTTTATTAAAACTTACGTATATTTTTAGAAGAAAATATTCAGAAAAGAGTCTCACTTTAACAATACAAAATTAAGTACAATATGATACACTAACATATCATTTTAACTAAAGGATGTAAATTTGGTGAAATCAGCGACATAGTTGAAAATGACTTCAATTGAATTACATATTTGGTTTTTTGTATCTTTAGCATAAGCATAGCTTTGTAGTGTTTCTGTCAAATAACATTTGTGTGAATTAACTACCTGAAAATGGCATAGTTGGCTCCATGAAATTTAGTTTAATTCAAATTTAGAATTGACTTACACAAAATCACGATCTATATATTGATTTTCAGCGTTTTAAAACACTGCTTGAAAGTCGACAGAACAATTTATCATTGCACCAAAAGAAATTCGTCAAGTGTCAGATTTTCATCACTGAGTGAGATGGAGGCCTATCAAGTCTGAAGAGCAAGTATGTAATCATATCATTTGAAATCTTTCAATTTACATGTCTATAAATAAATAATATGTTGTATTTTTTTTCGGAAAATCGACAGACAAATTATTACTTTTAATATTTAGAGTATAATCGCGAAATTAACTATTCTGTACTACAAATTAACTGTAGCAATATCCGGTGAATAATGGCGTAGTCAGTATAGCGCTGCACGTTCAGGGGCTAACTGTTGTGTTGTCCCATCTGCTGTTGTTTCGTTTAATCGTCCAAACCGAAAGGCCAATTACTATCTTGTAATGTCAGTTTAGGTAAAGTTCATTGGGTCAGCATAAATAAAAGGCGTTTCATCGCAATAGGGCGTCACGTTGTGATTACTACAAACAGTGAATTTTTTTAAATTGATACTATAAGTTAATCCAGCAGTGTATATCTGCAGAGATACTGAAAGGATTTGAACTATGCCTCGTTAAGTGCAATTCGGTTAAAACACAACCCCAACTTAATAACCATGCAAATATTAAAACTTATTGTTTACCTTGTTGTTTATCATGGGGTGCCTATATACACACTAATATGCCTAATTTCCCTGAAATCGTAGTCCTGGCCTTTTTTAATAATCTGATGAGCGTTTTTGCCACAAATGATAATGGTAATCAGACTAATGTCTTAAATTTAACTGTAGCTCATCGTGGTAGTAAACGCTCTGGTAGTAAATGTGACGTAATGTGATTACTCAAATGATGAGTAGCGCGACAACTCTTAATTGTTGCGGTGCAATGCATCTCATCTATTCGTCTGGCTCACGAGTCGACATATAGTTGTGTTAACTTGTAGACGTTGTTTATGACCGCTGTTTAAGTTGTATTATTTAAGTTGTGCCGCTGTTCTCAATAAATGTAGTTCAGCTGTATACGAGTTTCTATTCTGAGCAGATAGCAATTAAGCAACGAAACATGGTGTAAGAAGTGGGATTCGAACCCACGCCTCCATTCGGAGTGTTACGCCAATCGAGCAATGCAAGAAATACATCACTCTTACTCTCAATAGCTTTTATCATTATGCTCTTCATTTGTTTAACGGCGGACTCTGCTTTACCATTGCTTTGGCTATATGTAGGAGAGCTTGTAACATGCTGAAATTCATAATCTTCAGGCAAATTTTCTAAATTCTTCGCATACTATATTGAGGAGCGTTGTCAGAAATCAGTTTTTCTGGTAAGCCGTGTCTAGCCATGTGTTGTTTTAAATGCTTTGATAACTTCTGCAGATGTGGTCGTATGAAGTCTGTCAACTTCGCAAAATTGGAGTAAAATCTACTGTTACAGATAGTTTCTGCCCTGCAATTCAAATAAATCGGACGCAATAATTTGCCATGGTCGAGAAGGAATCTCATGGTGAATTATCGGCTCTTTTTGTTGATTAGGTTGAAACACTCGACAAGTAGTGCATGACGAGACATAATCATGTATGTCCAATGGCCACTTTTGGCCAGAAAAGAACCTCTCTTGCTCTACGAAGCAAGCCCTGTATCCCAATGTGACTTGCGTGTATGCGCTGCAGAACATATTGTTTGGCAGATTCTGTACCCACAATACGACATCCTTTCAGAATAAGCCCATTTTGAACAGTGAGGTCTTCTCTAAAATTGAAATATTCTTGCATGGACCGTGGAAGCTGTTTCTTGGTAATCGGCCATCCCATCTTCAATGAATGGCTCTAAGAGTTGCATTGTCGAATCTTTCTCTGTAGATTTTTGTAAAACATGCATTGTTTTGTCGCAACCTGGTAATATCTTTCAACATATCAATTTCCTCAATTTCATTAGCCAGTGACAGATGAAATATAACACCCTTACCAAATCGTGTCAGTACTTTTATCAATATATGCTCGCTCAGGGTATCGCAATGAACATATTTGCACCTTTTTTATAATTACACCAAAAGTCATATTCTGTAATTGAAGAAGCATTCTTTTGTAGTCGTTTTGGTTGCATCTACTAATGGCTTTTTTGTAATAGTTTCGAGTGGTTTGTGATCAAGTCAACTTGTACAGTCCTTCCATACCACATAGTGTTCAAATTTTTCCATGCCAAACAAAATCGCCAAAAGTTCTTTTTCTATTTGGGCATAATTGCACTCAGTAGATGTCAGAGCACGTGAAGCATAAGCAACCAGGGTGGTCATTTTGCATCAAGCAAGCTCCCAAGCCCTTTGAAGAAGCTTCACATTGTAGGACAATAGGGGCTTTCTCATCATAATATTGCAAAATAGGAGATTTCATCAGAGTCTCTTTCATTGTATTGAAACATGTACCGTGTACTTTTTTGTCCCATACGAACTCATTATCTTTTCTAAGAAGTTCTCTGATTGGTGCACTAATTTGAGATAATTTTGGAGCAAATCGCTGTAGAAAATTTGTAGTAGCCAAAATTCTTTGCACCCCTTGTTTATCAGTCGGATGAGGCATATCTCTGATACCTTCCAATTTTGCCAAATCTGGTTTTGAACGCTCTTTGCTGATAACGTGACCCAAGTAAGCAACTTCTGTTTTCATATATTGTAATTTATCTTTATTCAATTTAATACCCTTCTCTCTACATCTTTGTAGAAGATCATAAAAATTTTTCTTGTTATCGAGCGTTGCCTCTTCTATGGTATCACTCACACCATATATCAAGATATCATCGGTAACTGACATAACTCCACTTAAACCATTAAGAGCAAAGTTCAGACGGCGCACAAACTCTTCAGGGGACGGTTTAAGTCCGAATGCCATTCTTCGCCACCTATAGCGACCCCATGGAGTACCAAATGTTGTCAGATAACTACTTTTAACGTCGAGTTCAATATGCCAAAAACCATTTTTAACATCGGCAATGGTGAATACTTTTGCCTCGGCAATACATCGTCAATAGTAGGCATTGGATGATTGTTTCGTTTAAGAGCCTTATTCAAAGGCTTTGGGTCAAGGCATAAACGAATACTTCCTGATTTCTTTGATACTACAATCAAATTTGAAATCCATGGCGTATGACAATCTACAGGGGCTATAATACCCTCATTCACCAATCTGTCCAGTTCATTCTTAACCTTGCTTTGAAGTGATAATGGTACTTTTCGCACTGGCATTTGAACTGGAGTAACAGTATTATCAACTTCCAGTTTCAATTTTCCTTCAAGTTTGCCCGTGCCAGTAAATATATCAGCAAACTCGGCAAAAATTTGGCTGAGCGACATCTTGGAAAATTTTTCAAAATTACATGATTTAGAAATAGTACAAAAGATATTTTCATAATTGACAGCACAAAGGTTATTTGGAAGACGCACAAGAACT